GTGTGTGTGTGTGTGTGTGTGTGTGTGTGTGTGTGTGTGTGTGTGTGTGTGTGTGTGTGTGTGTGTGTGTGTGTGTGTGTGTGTGTGTGTGTGTGTGTGTGTGTGTGTGTGTGTGTGTGTGTGTGTGTGTGTGTGTGTGGACACTCTGTGCTGTACCCACTCTGCCTTACAGGGGACGTCCCAGAGGAAGGCCGAGACTCTCGTTCAAACAGGCGCAACTTATTTATTTATTTATTCTCAGACGACTACCCATTTCTCTTTGCTCACTATTGCCATGGCAACACACCTAAACTCTCTGCATCTCTCGTTCCCTCCCGGGATCGCGTCTCACTCCTCTGTTTTTACCCCATTCATTTTCACTCACCAAAATCATGAATAATTGAGCGTGTACAGTACACCGAGTGTGGGAGAGTGGTGTCTATCCTACGACCTGCGGTTCATCCTGTCTGATGTTTTCACAATAAAATGACACTGAAACTCCCACTGCTTCTTTTTCTGCTTTGTTTTTTGCACTTGTTATGTCAAATATGTAAGAACATACCAGCTGTAGAAGACCTCTGACACAGAAAAGTCCCCACAGCACTTCAACAAACTATTCAGAACAGAAGAATAAAGCTGTGGATTCATCTCACTTTCTGTCAGAATGGAAGATGAAGATGATTGAACTCAAGGGAGTAGAACACATCTCATACTGGTGCACATAGTGTAAGAAATGAAACTTTCTGTGCACTTCATGCAGAGGGATGATTACCATTTTATAGTTCCACCTCTTATTTATAATAATAACAATATAAACAATAAATAAAAATTGATAATATACTTTTTTGTATAAAACCCTAGTAGATATAGAATGAACATAAAAACAGATAGGATGTTATAAATAATGGAAAATAAGATGAAAAAACATCAAAATGAAGATGAAATAGAATGCAAAGAATACATATAATAATAATATGAATAATAATAATGTAATGCATAATATTATGGTAAAATAAAACCCACTAAATAATATTTAAATCAGAATCCATATTTGCAGAATTCTCATATAAACACTGCAGCAGCTTTAACATTCTCCATTATCTTCTACTCTGCTCTAAACTTTTCTTCTCTACATCAGTGGTGGAGATTTGAATTTTGAAGACAAAAACTCAAAAAGTGCGTGTGATTGAGCTGTGATGCGTTCACAGCCAGCGATCATCCTCGCTGTCTCCGCTTTGTCACTTCATCATTGTCTATGGCTCCCTAGGGCTCTCTAAATGGCTTCTATTTATAGGATTTTAACCCTATAAATTGATCTAATTGGTCTCTTCATCTATTAAACTGAAGCATCTGCACACCTGGGTGTTTTTTCTGACTGACTTAAAGTGCCGGAGGAATGTGTTGTGTGCAAACATAGGCTGTGTTCAAAAACCTCTATATAATAGTATAAATAATAGATACCCAGTAGCTGATTATATTATGAACTCGGTCACTGACGGATCATTGTCATTTTGCGTTATTACCATAGACTATAAAATATGGACGTGTTCTCTGTGACTTCACTTAAAATGCACAAGTGCATACTTTTAATACTCAGAATTGGTCAAATATGATTTTAAGTGAATTACTATTTGCTGCATTTCAACCGATTTACTTTTTTTGGCCACATCAAAACACAACACTGACATATTATCATAAACTGGTAAGAAAATGTCATACTTTTTGGCGGATTTGGCCGTATCTAGAGGTGAGATTGCAGATTGTAACGAACTGAAACTTCTCCCGTGTGCCAAGTGAGTAAGAGAACTACGGCAGACACGAAACACGCGAATGACTCTCTCTAGAGCCAACGTTTAGTTTGTTTGCTCTGGGCTACTGTAGAAACATGGCGGCGCAACATGGCAGACTTTGTGAAGAGGATGTAAATGCCTCATTCTAGGCAAGAAAAACACAATAATTCTTATTTTCAGGTGATTCTACACTAATGAAAACATACTTAATAAGATCACAACAGATCACTGGCCCCTTTGAGGAGAAAAGGTAATACCACATCTGAACAATCACAATCTAAGCTGACACAAATCCTTATGTCATATTCTTCTATCATCCATGCAGTATCTATCTGACAAGCCACCGGTGGGTACATTTTAGCATGGGTTGTACCCTCCAGTAGCCCATCATGTCCCTGCCCCTGATGCGCCTGCCACGGCTCATTAGCGCTGCAGCAGATGTGTTTGTGTCTCAGCCTCCGTCTCTGTCCATCTCTGAGGCTGCTCAGCCTCCCTGCAAAGACCCCCAACCCTCCCATTACGCCGACACTGTGTTCTGCTGCGCTCAGTGGCCACCAAAAAAGGATAAAAGAGAAATGCAAAGTAAGATTGCTCTCATCTGTGAACACCACAGATTTGGAGTGTATGGGGCATTTTTTTCCTGTCTTTATTCAGGAGCATTCAGATTTTGAAATGCTTTCACCCGAAGCCCTGTCCTCGCACTCGAATAGCCTCTGCTTGCGCTTGAATTTGCTCTGCTTCTGCTCAAACTGTATGCTTGCTGCTAGCACAGATTTCCTGCGCTCCATCTCCAGAACTTTACCTCGCACTCAGCTCAGGCTGCTCCTGTGCACTCGTGAAAACGTCTGCTCTCAGATTTCTCCTCTGCTTTCGCAATTTTTTGTCCAATAACCCTCTCCAAATAACCCGACCAATAGATTGCTGAAAAATGCAAAATGATCCCAGCCTCATTGTGTGTTAGCTTTCCTTCTTAGAGCGTCCCCTTTAAGCAGGTTTTATCCACTCCTACCCTCCAAAGCTTTATTATTGCATATACTTCCCTTGCTCTCTTTTTCGACTTTTGGAATAAAAGGACAGTTATAATATATATCTATCAGTGGCGGGCCGTGCATTTTATACCTGGGCCTTCTGTGCTGTCCTACTACAGTTGAATAACCTCATTATGAGCCACAGCTACGGTTATTATTTGTTTCTAGGGGTGTAACAATACACATATACGTATTAAACCGTTCGGTACGAGGCTTACAAACCGAACAATACGTTTGAATAATACTAGTGCATTTGGAAAATGCAGAAGCTTAAATTGTTAAATCCAGGAGACTCCCTAAAAAAAAAAAGGCCAGTGAGAGATGCTGCCCCCTTCCCTTGAGCAAAGCACCCTCTCCACCGCTGCAGCACACTGGTCAGCGATGATGACAAGTGTCAGGGAGGGTATTGCTGTCAAACATTATGCATGGTTAGTCCATTTTTTGGCCATAAAGATGAAAAAGTGTTGGCAGGATATCCGGACTGATTGGATTATAAATTACCTGCTGATTTATGCAAATGCTGACATTTAGGGTTGAGGGCTAAATGAAGAGAATAGAGGCCCATCTCTTCACTTACAACTCAGGCAGTGTGTGTCCTGAGGGTTAATGTTGCCATAAATATGTCATGATATCAGGAGGGAGAATTTATAGTATAAAGTGGTAAGAGAGACTTCTAACCGGAGCAAACCGGTGAGCCATTGGCCCTGCCAAAGTGCCAAAGGGCAACCCACCTTCACTCCACCCGGCACAAAATGACAAATTTCAGGCTTCAGTAACTGACAGATGACAGTGAGATAAATGCCAGGCTTAAAAAATGTTCCTTCATAGAACCACGATTGACCGCACAGATGGTGCTCCATGTTTTTACACAGTCTGTGATCTTTTACAGCCCTGTGCACTGCTCTGAAGGTGACCTTCGGCTTCACTGAAGAAGGGGAAGCAATAAAACAATTCCTCCACAAGCTTGGGCCAATCACACTTACTTTCAGGTGGCCAACCCACATACTCAAATAACATGGTTATTGATGGTTATGGAATGGTTTTGTTGGACTAGACTTGCATATGAGGGTGTACAGTAAAATATTCGGCATGAGTAATTACTCTACAAGCTATATAATATGTAACTTTTCACCTGGTGAGCTGTCTGCACTGAGGCAGCTTCCAGCTTGAGATGAAGACTTCACAGGCCCTGGACAAACAGATGGGGAGAGCAACCAAGCTGTCGGCTGATGTCTGGACGGAGGCACGGGCGTGTCTCATAGAAGTTTGGTTTCACTGTTGTGTTCTTTGAAATTCCTCTGTTGCCGAAGTTGATGTGCGGAGGTTCCTACTGCTCACTGAAAGGCAACTTTCCAGCCAAACATAGGCTGTTCACAAAGAAACATGCTAGGCCTACTCCAAACTAATCTTACAAAATGTACTCTATTTAAATATTTTATTTATGTGCGTGAAATTACATCAGCCTGGCTTTATTATTCCCTTGTATCTCCAATTAAAACCGGAAGTTGAGATGCAAGAAAAAAAGTGGCCTAGTTTAGACTCCTGGGGAACTCCACCGATGTTACACATCCAAGGTTTTCCAGGTGTGACAGAACAAAAGTAGCCTTTAATGTTTCCAGAGGGAGCTGTGAGAAGTCTCCTCAAGTGATGTCGCTTGAGTCAGCGTTGATTGGGGATGAAGAATACGTGATTGAAATTGGAGAAAAAAATGTGGGAGTTCGAAAAAGGGGAGTTTACCAATCTAGATGCTACATTAGCTGCTAGCATAACTCTACGGCCGAACTGTCGGTGGTCGAGTTGCATTGTGGGTAATGGAGGTACCAGATTTTGACAATGAAGAAGAATGAGATGTATGAAGGAAACCAAATTTCTCCGTAATGGCCACAACATTCTTACAAATCAGAGCAAATAACTTCTTTGAAGCTGCATTAGTAGATTATTTTTCTTTTGCCACTTGGTGGCAGCAAAAAAGCTGTAGGCACAACATTAACACATTATCACCTTATAAAGTTGATGTGGCTACTTTGTCTACTGTTTGGTGGAGTGGGTTTATCAGATCCTTCTTGCTAGAGCCATGAGACTGAAACAAAACAGTGAGCAGAGAGAGAGAAGATGCTGATGTGTTGAAATATCTTACTTTTTAACCTGGTGGTAGCATCAACAATGACACTGTAGCAGACAGACAGT